CTCTCATTCATTTATTTCTTTTTAAAAAATTTTAATTGCACCAGGATTCCATTCCTGAAATGTTTACCCTTTCACCATTTACAGCTTTCACAATTTTTCCAATTTCATAAACTTTTTTCTCGCCATTTTCTTTCAACAACCTAATAACATCGGCAACATTTTCCTTTGCAACCACCAAAACCAATCCAATTCCACAATTAAACGTTCTAGCAAACTCAGCTAAAAGGAGAAAGAAATCTCATCATTAAAATAACATGATAAAATTAATGTTATACCGTTAGAAATATTCCCAACTTTCTTCAACCACCTGAACACATCCAAAAACTCAAATGTTCTTGCATCAATTATGACACCAAACTCCTTTGGCAGTGCTCTCGGTACGTTCTCGGTGAATCCACCACCTGTAATATGTGCCATACTCTTTATCAATCCACTTTTTGCGACAGGTAGTACCTCTTTCACATAAATTCTTGTAGGCTCCAACAAAGCCTCCCCAAGCGTTTTATGTACACTTTTAAATGGCGGAGGAGAGTCATATGATACTCCGAGGTTTTCCACAATGTGTCGAACCAGTGAGTAGCCATTAGAATGAATGCCAGAAGACGCAACCCCAACCAATACATCACCCTCAACAATGCGATCCAATGTTGGCAATATTTTTTTCCGATCAACAGCACCCACTACGAACCCAGCAAGGTCATAATCTCCAGACGCGTACATTCCTGGCATTTCACTGGTTTCACCACCCACCAATGCACAACCTGCAATTTCGCAGCCCCGTGCAATTCCTTTGATAACATCAGCAGCCACATCTACGTCCAGTCCACCAGTCGCAAAGTAGTCAAGGAAGAAAAGAGGCTCGGCGCCTTGCACCAGCACATCATTGACATTCATTGCCACCAGGTCAATGCCAATGGTGGTGTGGCACCCAATTTCCTGTGCAATTTTGAGCTTAGTTCCAACACCATCGGTACCCGAAACCAACACACCGTCAGTGTAACCAGCAGCTGCAAGGTCGAAGAGACCACCAAAACCACCAAGTTCTGAATCAGTACCACTGCGTTTAGTGGCACGTACAAAAGGTTTGATTTTCTCAACAAGAGCATTGCCAGCATCAACGTCTACACCAGCAGATTTGTAAGTCAGTTGTGTCTTTTTGTAGGAAAGTGCTCTGAATTTAAGAGTTAAATTTAGGTTGTGGGTTTGGGTAGAATTACCGGTGTCCAATGTCAGTGCGGAATTGCATGCCTTCAAAGGAAGCCAATCTCATGTTTTCGTATGCAGTTGCAATCGCAGATTCAAGAGTAGGGGAGACAGCTGTAACAGAAAAAACTCGACCACCATCTGTTTTCAAAATTCCATCAATTAATTTTGTTCCAGCCTGGAAAACATGAACGTCTTTTTAAAATCAAATTTTTAAAAAAAAACAAAAATTCAGATCTGAAAATAAAACTTTACTTGATGGATATGATGAAACAAGCGTGATTTCTTTTCCCTTTTGATATGAACCAGGGTAGCCATTCGATGCTGCGACAACAGTACATGCAAATTCAGATTTAAATTTCACAGAAACAGAGTCCAATCGGGATTCAGCACATGCCTTTTTAAAAAAAAAATCAATTTAAAAAAAATTTAGACAAAATAGTAAAAACCAAAAATATTTCTGCAAGGTCACAACTGTCATCAAGCAGTGGTAAAATAACTTGTGTCTCGGGATCACCAAATCGACAATTAAACTCCAGAACCTTGATCCCAGTCTTTGTCAACATCAGCCCAGCGTATAACACCCCCACGAAAGGAACTCCATCTTTTCTCATGCCATCTACGGTTGCTTGCAAAACGCTTTTATGTACTTGCTTCAACATGTTGTCAGTCATGATTGGTGTGGGTGCATACGCTCCCATTCCACCAGTGTTTGGTCCCTGAAAGAAAACTATAAGATGTAATTGAAAAATATTTTCGCCTTGTTTTAATTACTTGATCTCCATTGTACGCTCGTTTATGGTCCTGGGCGGGTGGCATGGCAACAACAGTGTGACCATCAGAAAATGCTAAAACGCTGACTTCCTCTCCTTCCAGTCGTTCTTCAATGACTACTTCTAACCCTTTGTTTTTAAAATAAGATAAGTTGACTAGGCGAGATTGACAGAGTTTCTAATACCAGCATCACCGAAGATTTTGTCGACAATGATTTCTTTTAGATATTCTTCAGATTCTGTGACTGAGTTTGGGAGTACAACACCTTTTCCTGCTGCCAAACCCGATGCCTTCACAAAAAAATAAAATTGAATCATTACATGTCACTTCTAATTCTAAACCAACTTTTATCACAATAGGAGTCTGTACATTCCTAACATACTCAACAGCCTTTTCAAAGTCCGTAAAAGTCTGTAAAAATTAAACCATGTATTAATTAATCATACAATCTTCACAAATTCATTTACTTTAAAAGCAGCAGTTGGAATGCCATGTCGCATCATAAACTCCTTTGAGAACGCTTTTGAACCTTCTAAATGGGCTGCGCGCGCTGATGGACCGAAGACAGATATACCAACTTTGCGAAACCATGATTCAATTCCATCTACGAGAGGTTGCTCAGGGCCGGGCACAACGAGATCGACGGAATTATCAACTGCGAATTTGACGAGTTCAGGAAAGTTTGATTGAGATAGAGCAACAGATTCTAGTTTGTCGCTTGCAAGCTCAGCTCCATTACCTTAGTTTCAATTTGTCTTTAGAATGTTATCTTTTTCCAGTTAGGAAGTTAGAAGTCACCTGGAACTAAGTAAATTTTCGAGACAGATTTGGATTTGAGGAGGGCTGTTGCTATTGCATGCTCACGTCCACCTGCTCCAATCAACAATACTTTCATTTTAAATTTTTTTTTTTTTAATATTTTTGGCACTTTTTGCCTTTTTCAATATTTAAAGTTAATTTAATAAAATTTTTTTACAATTTTAATATGAGCCCGTTTAGCTCACATGGCTAGAGCGTTCGCCTTGTAAGCGAAAGGTATTGAGTTCGATTCTCAAAATGGGCAATTGGTTACAAGTTGTTTTGATTATTTCAATTTCTCTCATCTTTGTTTTTGAATGTATCACTCTTGGTATTTGTTGGAATGTTGGGCGTTTCAGAATTGACAAAATCTCCTACATAAATTCCTGGAATTTTTGTTCGCAAAATTTCCATTCAAAACTGATTTTTTTGATAAATTTGACACTCATGTGTCAGACAACTTGACCACTGGGCTAAATATTAGGATTAGCAAGTCCTAACAATAGTGAGAGGTTCAACCAGGTGGACTATGTAAAGTTTTTGTCTGTATCCTTAGCAAAAAGACAATAGATATCTT